TTTAATTAACCCTTTGACTAGTCTTTTAAATGTGCTTGTAACTCCAGATCTAGGAATAGATCATTTCACACTTGACCTTCAAGGCGGCAGATTTTAAAGTATTTATGACTTGTGGCTGTTGATAGAATTTTCTGTCTGCATCTTGTTACATTAGTGAATCAAGCCTTAGCTGCTTCAACAACTTTATTTGATCTTCCCGTTGCCTTATTTAGCAATTAATCTAGTACATTATGTTTCTCAGTTTTCTCTATCTTTGCAGGTGATGATCCTCTGACTAGGATTCCATCACCTTTGGGCTTCTTTGTCATCACCCCTTCTTCCTGTCCTTTTCCTACTGCGCTTCTTGCTTCCCCCTTTCCTAACTCCTGTCTTTCAGCTAAATTGTTCCTGCTTTTAGGAAATTTTTCTTAACTCTTTGTAAGACTGTGTTTTCATGTCCTGCTTTTTAGGTTAAAAAAAAAAAGAGTTGATGAGTTGTATTTAAAAAAAAAGTTCTCTTCAGTTACGTGTGGTTGAAACAAAGATTTGGAAAATTAAAAATCTGTAAGGTGTTCTGCATTTAGATTGCTTTTCAGGTTGAGTAAGTGTTCAAACCTACTGTAATAGAAAGCTAGAATGGAAACTATAGCCAGTGAACTGCTTTTGTTTCTTTTTAAATGTAAGATAAGATGCAGACCTCCAGTCAGTGGACTGAAACCCTAAGGAAAGGCCCTATCTCAAAAGATAGGTGAATATGTATTAATAAGTTTTAAAATCAAACATTAGTCTAGTAATTTCTGTATACCCAGGTAACAACTTGAGCTGGGAGTGCTGGCCAGTACGTTTCCTGGAGCTGTTTTTACTCTAGCCATTTCACCCATCTGGGTTGACCTTAGTAGCTAACATTAGTGCTGGCTAAGGTTCTTGATAGGGCCCAGCTTCTTTGTAGTTCATGTTCTTTTGAGACTTTGCTGGTGGTACCTTTCTTACTGGCTTTTAAGAGATTATATTAGGTTGTGTTCAGCACCTTTGGCCTGGTCATTGGTCATGAATTTTTTCATCCAATGAGTTGTGAGATTTTATATGGGAATACTTAACCTTTGCTTAGGGTAAGATCTGGGTCATACTTACCAATGGTTTCTCAGTAGACTCCTGGGTTTTGCCCCCTATCTTCTCATATTTCCTCTTGAGGTTGTACTTGCCATCATAAAATCCATTTCCAATCTTGACGTTTTTATGAGCATTTTTAAAACCTAAGTGGTGAGACTCATTTACTTTTCACCCTATTTTCACCTTCTACCTCATGCTTTGTGTCAGTTGGGTACATTTCGTTTACTGTATTTCCTTTTCTTGCTTTTGGGGGATGACATCTCTGGTACCCTCCCTTGGGTATTACGCAGCCTTAATGTTCCCAATTCTACTTTGATCTCATCTGTTGGGAAATTTTTGGTGTTCTTTAAATCTGTGTCACAGTTCCCCCACCTTGCTTGCCCTCTTCCCTGGTCAGTTGGTTAGCCCTTTAGAGTTGGAATACAGTTCTTCCTCTATAGAGAACAGTGGAAGGATTTCTTGAAGTTGCCATCCTTCCTTCATTTATTTTACTGTGAACTTTAATGGATCTCTGATTTGTAAAGAAAAGTGGCTTCTGTGAAACTGCAGTCTGGGCTTCCATATCTCCTTTTTTAAATTAAAGTTTGTTTTTAATTGTAAAAAACACAAATTTTCTCATCTTAGCCATTTTTAAATGTACATTTCACTAGTGTTGAGAATACTCACTTTGTTATGAAACAGATCTTAAGAACTTTTTCATCTTAAATTCTGTACTCATTAAACAACTCACCATTTCCCTCTCCCCCTGACAGCCACCAGTTTACTTTGTTTCTATGAATTTGATTACTCAAGATAGCTCATTGAAGTAGAATCATACAGTATTTGTCTTTTTGTGACTGGCTTATTAGCATGATGTCCTCAAGGCTCATTCCTGTTGTAGCATGTGACAGGATTTCCTTCCTTTTTTAGGGTGAATAGTATTATTTTCTATGTGTACACCAGTTTTTGTTTATTCATCTGTTATTGTACATTTGGGTTACTTCTGCCTTTTGCCTATTGTAAATAATGCTATGAACATAGGTGTACAAATATATCTTTGAGATCCTGCTTTGAATCCTTTTTTAATGTATATATGTATGTATTATATATATACCTAAAAATGGAATTGCCAAATCCTATGGTAATCTTTTAAAAAATTTTTTGAGGAACTGCTGTACTCTTTTCCATAGCATTTGCACCATTTAGTATTCCCACCAACAGTGCAGAAGGGTTCTGATTTGTCCTCATCCTTGTCTACACTTGTTTTATGATTTTTTTTAACATTTGCCGTCCTAATGGGTGTGAAGTGATACCTCATTGTAGTTTTTATTTGTGTACTTAGCTTTGAAGTCATGAAGTATGAGTCTTCCAACTTTGTTCTTGTTTTTCTATATGGTTTTGGTTATTTGGGGGTCCCTTTAAATTCCTTATGGGCTTAAGGGGTGGAGTTTTCTATTTCTGCAGAAAACATTGGGATTTTGGTAGGGATTGTACAGACTCTGTAGATCACTTTGGGCAGTTTTGACATTTAACAGAATTAAATCTTCCATGAATATGAGTTTTCTGTTTATTTGCATCTGGTTTCTTTCTGCAGCTTTTTGTAGTTGTCAGTTTGCAAGTCTTTCGCCTCCTTGGTTTAGTTTATTCCTCAGTCTTTTATTCTTTTTGATGCTATTGTAACTGGAATTATGTTCATGATTTCTTTTCCAGACTGTTTATTGTTAGTATATAGAAATGCAGTGGATTTTTGTGTATTGATTTTGTGTCCTGTTACTTTACTGAATTCATTTATTCTGACAGTTTTGGGAGTATGTGTATGTGGACTCCAGAGTTTTCTACATGTAAGATTATGACATCCATGAACAGAGATAATTTTCCTCTTCCTTTCCAATTTCTCCTTGCCTAATTGCTTGGGCTAGAACTTTCAAAACTATGTTGAATAGAAGTTGTAAAGGCAGCTACTTTGTCTTGTACCTAATCTTAGAAGAGAAGCTTTCAGTCTTTCACCATTGAGTATAATGTTCGCTATCTGTCTGGAGAGGTCTGGCCCTGATAAGATGACTTTCCCTTCCCTTTCTGGTTATGAGGTAGATAAAATGAAATAAGTAAGCTTGTGCTGGTGAGCAGTTAGGTTGCCATATTGGCCTCAGGTGGAATAGGTGTTTCTGACCATACATATGCTTTTTCCAGAATTGTGCCATTTGTGTTTTGTGTTAAGAGAAGGATTTAATTCGTGTATCCCCTCTGTTCCCTCTGTTTTCAGGCTGGGAAAGAAAACTGGCAATGTGTACCATGATCTCTTCTTGGTAAAATCATGCAAACCAAGAGCTTAGTAGTTCTCTTAACTCATTCCCCACTACATCTTACTCTGACATGGTTGCTAGGTTTTGTGGTCAGGATCTTCTGCCTGATGGGCATTAGTGTCTCTGACATCCAGGGCCACAGGTGCCATTACCTTGTTACCCATTTGTTTGGCATATACTTTTTTTTTTAATGATTATTTTTAAACTTTTGTTTTATTGTTTTGTTTTTTGTTGTTTGGGGGGAGGTAATTAAGTTTATTTACTTATTTTTTGTTTTTAATGGAGGTACTGGGGATTGAACCCAGGACCTCTTGCATGCTAAGTAGGCACTCTGTCAATTGAACTATATCCTTCCCCCCTTGTTTGGCATATACTTTTGCCCTATGATTTTTCCTTCTCTCCCTGGCCAAGAGGATTTTTTTTTACCCTTCTAGTCAGTTGTATCAGAGAGGATTCTTCTAACCTCCTACTTGGACTTCAGGCATTTCTGGAGGTGAGTAGGTGAAGAATGTGGTGAGTTGCAACATTGAGTGTATAGTCTGGTCTAGAACAAGGTGGTTTGTTTGTTTTTAATGAACATTAAGCCATACACAGTTGGTAAACAGAGGAGTGATATTAGTATAATGGAACATCTTACTGATTCATATGGGATTTTCCTCCATCACATTAATGTTTTACAGTGATTGATGCAGTTTCTTGTGATTAAGAGAAGACTCTACTAATATATATATAACAAAGCTGACAGTCCTCAGAAACGCCTTCTTTTTGTGCATATAGTGATAGGGGTCCTTAAAGCCAATGTAATCTCCTTTGTAGATATATGTGGAGAAGGTGAAGTAGGTGGAAAGTCATCAAAATGATGGCTTCATGAGAATGGTTATTTGATCTTTAATTTTGGGGGAATGATCTTTATTACAATTGAGTGTCCTCAGGCACCTTTATGTCAAAAGGTGAAGCATGAACCTCATGGTTCAAAGCTGCAGAAGGGTTGATTGACACTGGTTTGGTGCAAACTGTGATAGTCTTTTTTAAAAATTTTAAATCAGACTAGTTACTGGTTTTGTCAGTGCTCTGGTTATAAAGTTTCATAGGTTTTGAACACTCTTCTTCTGATGTTGCTTTATTGTTAGTCTCATTTTCTTTATTGCAAGATGTGCTGCTCAGCAGTGCCTGGCATGACATAGTAGGAAATGCTTGTACAGAGGCAAATTCAGTGTTTTCAGTATGATACTCCTGGCTTTTCAGCTGATTTTCTAAAGCCCAGCTCTCTCTGGTTCAACATTTCCAGAGAGGAAACAGTCTTTTGGAGATGGGTGGGGGCGGTGCAGTGCAGAGTGAGGAGGTGTTTGTTTTTTAATAAGATTTTAGTATTTTTTAGCCTCACCTGTATTCCTGCTTTCTGAGGTACTCAATGTTTCCAATTCGTGGACCTTTCTGAGATTTTGGGGGACAAAATTAGCCTCAAATTAGTCATTATTTAAATAAACCAAGATTTAATTTCTTTGGCGAAAACAAGAAAAAATTATCCAAAATATTTGTATTTGTAAGTACAAAGGCTTTTAAGTATTGGCTTTAATTTTGGTTTAGTATTATTTATTCATAATTAAATTTTTTTCTACTTTATTTCAGTATCAGATATAGAAGTTGGTGATGGACTGCAGCTCAGAAAGGAACATACTCTCAAAATATTTGCTTATATCAATTCCTGGACACAGAGGTATGCATCTTTTAAGTATTTTGGAGACTAACTTTGTGAGTTGTGTTTTAAATTAGCATAGTCATCAAATTTTCCTCAAGATGTTGGTTTATATACCTTTAGTCATTAAATGACAGTTTATCAATATTGAATCTTCCTCTTCTCCTTACTCATGGAGTCATTCTTGCTTTTGTTTTTAAACATGAAAATCAGTTTCTTTCTTTACCCCTTCATTATTTAGAAGTATACGATTGCTTGAAATTATAAAAATAATGATGATTTTGGAAATTATAAAAATAATTATTTTTAGAGATTAAAAAATCATTATGGCATAGCAGGAGATGTGTAACAAATTTAATCCTTTAAAAAAATCAGTATTATGGTAGAGGGCACTTTGACCTTTCTGGAAGCCACTTGCTGTTTGTTCCTTTTCCATAATAATTAGTATATTAGGTTGATTTTTAAAAATAATACATGTATTGAGAATATGGAGAATAAAATTTTAGGGAATACAATTATTAATATAACCAAAGTTTGTAAGAGAAATTTGCAAATTTCTGTTCCTCAACATGATTTTAGCTGGTCATGGCTAAAAATTTTCACTTGTGTACCTATTTGTTTAAACTTTAGCCCTTCTGAAATTTTTATGAGTAATAATGTTTGAAGCACTGTGTGATTATGATTAATGAACATTTTAAATGTATAGTAACATAAATGAATGTCCTGAGGTACACACTCTAGATGATCATAGAGTTTTATCAGGATAGTTTAATTTCAGATAGTTTGCCCCAAACTGTAGAGACCCTCTGCCTTTATCTCACGCTGTTCCAAAATGTCATGGTTAAGAGTGTGACCTTGGAGCTCGATAGATGTGGCTTCTAGTCCTGCTTTATCACCTGTGTACTAGGTGATTGTGACAAGTTCCATAACTTCTGTAAACTCTTACTTCCCCATTTGTGAATGGAGAATAATAATAAAGCTACTACTATCTTAATGAGGTTGTGAAGAAACAAAGTACTTAGCACAGTATCTGACAAAAGAACTTAATAAGTACCTACTTTATGATACAGATAAACTTGTTTATAAAACAGAAACAGATTCATAGGCATAGAAAACAAGTTTATGGTTACCAAAGGGGAAAGGGGAGAAAGGGATAAATTAGGAGATTGGGATTAGCAGATAAAAACTACTGTTTCTAAAATAGATACACCAAGGTCTATAGCAGAGGGCACTATATCCAATACCTTGTAATAACCTGTAATGAAAAGGAATGAGAAAGAATATATACATATGTATAACTGAATCACTATGCTGTACAGCAAAAACTAACACGACATTATAAATCAACTATATGTCAATAAAAAAATTTGTTTTAAATACCTATTTTAACTAAAGTAAAATTTATTTCAGAAAATATATATTGAAGTATATGTAAGCTAAAGCATGAAAAGCAGAACTGGAAAACAGTTTGTAATACTTAATGATTCTTTTCACAATGTCAAAAAGTATTAACAGTTTTTAACTGATAGAAGTACCAAAAAGTAGAATGTTATACTCTTAATTGTTCATTCTGATACAAGAGAGAAGTGACAATAAAATACCCAGTTGGATCACAGTGCTTTATAGTAAAAATTTTATGCCTGCCTTGCCCACCCTCCTCCTGTTTCTGTCCTGGGCATCAAAAAACACTGTTGCCTAGATTAAGATTGTGGTTCTTGTAGGGGATAAATAGCTACTAATAGAGCACAGTTTACCTACAAAAGAAATTCTTAACCTGGTGGCCCATGACTATATGGACCATAAATGTACCATAAATGTACCTTAGTGCACGAATAGACCCATCACATTTCATACAAAATGTTCTTTATAGGTTTTCTGTGAGAAAAGTGTTAATTTTCATAAGATTATCAAGGATCAAAAATCATTTTTCTAATATACTGACCAGAATATAGGTAAAGGAGAATGTTCACTTAAAAAACAGTAGTGGAATCTGAAAAATAATAGAAATGAACTTATTTACAAAATAGAAACAGACTCACAGACATAGAAAACAAACTTAACAGTTACCAAAGGGGAAGCAGGGGAGGGATAAATTAGAAGTTTGAGATTAGCAGATACAAAGCACTATATATAAACTATATAAACAGTAAGATCCTACTGTATAGCACAGGGAACTGTATTCAATATCTTTTAATAACCTATAATGGAAAAGAATCTGAAAAAGAATATATATGTATAACTGAATCACTTTACTGTACACCAGAAACTAACACAACATTGCTATTGTATTTCATTGTTGTAATAAAATTGTTATTAATTTAAATTAATAAATGTAATAATATCAGTTAGGTATTATATTTCCTTGATTATTTTTCTTTTTCTCCCCATCATCTTACTTTGTCTATTCTACTTTCTGGGAGATTTTTCCAGTTTTACTTTTGGACCTTCTATTGAATTTTACAAGTTGCTATAATGTTCTATTTTTTAGAGCAGTTTTAGGCACTATTGCTTTTGAATAAGTTAATGTCTGTTCTGCACTTTTTAAGGCTCTGCTTTTTATTTTGGCATTAAGCAATTTGACCAGAGGGGTATCGATACTGACCACTATCCAAAGTAGTGCTTTTCAGAAATTAGGTCATAAGTAAAATAACTTTTGCTAAAGTTGGATACTGTGTATTAACAGTCCTTTCATGTGCTCATCAGTACCAGGCCAGGGAAAATGTTAGATCCATTGGAATATTTGTTGTTAGATGGAATTATGGAATCCAGGTTAAAGTAATTTAATTTTCACATATAGGTTCCTCATGAATAAACTTTTAGTTAGTATTTTGATTATATTACTTGAAGCTACATATTTTATGCTAGTCATTTAGAAATTTTTATCATTACGTGTTCTTAAATGTAAGTATACTCTACTCAGATAGGCAACATAGAACTCTGCTTGGCTAATAGTCTTATCAGGCGTAGTGATAGGGATAGGGCTGAAAAGATAGGATAAGCTCAGAGAGTGGAAGGGTATTATGATACTGGTGTACAGAGTTTACCACTGAGCTGTACCCTCCCCACCTCGGTGTACAGAATATAGAAAATAAACTGGTAAGAAAAGGCCGATAATAAAAAAGTCCATTATCACCTATCTCCTTGGCCTCATTTCTATTTTCAGCTCTTTCAGATACTGGTTTTGATATTAACTTCTGTGTTGTGAAATAGTGTTATTATATTGCTGTTGCTTCATCTGTCAATTTTAGGTATAATCTCTGAATTTCCTTTTCTGTTATATAAAGATTTTTACCATTTTACCCTTCCCCATTCTCTCAGTATAGTTATATCACTTCTCAGGATAGGTCTAAAAACAAAAATAATTCCTCATTGATTAGCCAAAAAAGGTTCTCTGGTTTATTTTATATCTTAAAAGCTATAAATTGTTCTTTTTCTTTTGTTATAATTCTTTATTTCCTAGAGTTTACTGGCTTGTTTTCCATTTGATTAATTTTCTAGGTGTGGATCACTAATTCTTCCCAAACTCTCCAACCCTTCTTAGTACTAGTGTTTACATTTTTGTATACATTGCTAGGTGATCTGTTATTTCCCTCCCTTTCCCTTTGGCCTTAATCTTCCTAATCTAATCTGTATTGATCCCTCACTAGGGTTACTAAAACAGCTATCTTCTCTTTAGATCATCCTTGAAATTCCTTTTGCTTTTCTTTTGGATCTCTAGTTTCCTGGATTCCATGCCGTCTTCATTGGTTTACTTCTTTGTTTGGATGACATCTTTTTAGAGAAAAGGTACATGGAAGGCAAATGGTTTTTAGACCTTTCTGACCTAAAAAATAGTCTCTTGTACTCTTATCGATAACTTACGTTGTGTACAGAATTCTAGATAGAAAATTATTTTCTCTCAGAATTTTTAAAGTGTTGTTTCATTGCATTTTAGCTTCTAATACTACTTTCAAGAAGTATTAGTTATTTTTATTCCTGAGCTTTTCCTTGTCACTCTTCAAACTCTCCCTGAAAGCTTTTAGGGTCTATATCCCTCATCGGCTTCAGAAATTTCATGATGTTACATGTTGTGGTGGGTTTTCAGTTCTGAATTTTTTTTTTCAGTTTTATAATTTGCTCACCTCCATATTTGTCTATTCTGTCTTCTTGAAAACATTATCAGTCAGATATTCTATTTCCTTGATTGTTTTTCTTTTTCTCCCTGTCATCTAACTTTGTCTATTCTGCTTTCTGGGAGATTTTTCCAGTTTTATTTCTGGATCTTCTGTTGAATTTTACAGGTTACTGTTACTTTAGTTGGTTTTTAAATTGTGGATGATACATATATATGCAAAAGCTATATAATCATATTTGTACACATTAAAGGGCTCTATTTGGTAATTGGAATGCATTTTTAAAATAATCGTTCGTTCTTGTTTCAGTAATCTAGTATTTTTCATGTCTCTGAAGATATAAATTAATTAAAACCTGTTTTCTTCCTGCATTTTATCTTCTTCTTCTGAATTTCTTTTTTCTGTTTGTTTTGATCTGTCTTTGGTGATGTAGCTTTTTCTTGAAAGTCCTTGGCTATCCTTTTATGATTAAGAGGGGATCACTGAAAAATGGATTGGAAGTTCTGTGTTAATGGGGCATCTCAGATGTTGGCCTGTATTGCATGATGGTAAAATGGTGAACAGACTTTCTTACTAGGGATAAATGGGCTTTTCTCTTAGATCACATTTTCTGAATCTTTGGCCATGAGATATGTTAGTTAGGTGGTTGGACAAGGGAGGATACTTTGGGAGGTTCACCATTCAACTTAATTCTCTCGCTTTCAGTTTCTTGTATCATTTCTATCTTCCATAGTGTATGGTGTTCCTGCGTTTATCTTGTTCACATTATGTACAGGAAGAACTTCTTGTTTCCCTGGGTCAAGTAGATAGTATCCTTGCTATCTGGAATGGGAACCTGCAGGTTTTAATGGAACCTTTGATTTGGTCCTATTTTCTACTGAGCTTCATTTCTGCCTTCAGAGGTATCTGAAGCTCTTTAGTCCTGAGCTTTCCGGTGTTCTATGGGGAGAATCTTTTTGCTGATTATATTCATCTATAGCCCCTTCAAAGTTTATTCTACACTGTCACTTATTATTCTTCCCTTTTCTTTTTTTTAAAAATTTTTTGTTTTGGGTTTTTTTCCAAGGGGAGGGGAGGTAATTAGTTTTGTTTATTTACTTATTTATTTAATGGAGGTACTAGGGATTGAACCCAGGACCTTGTGCATGCTAGGCGCGCACTCTTAGCACTGAGCTCTGCCCTCCGCCTGTTCTTCCCTTTTCTATCATCCAAAATTTCTTGCTGTCTGTCATCTTTTCTTCCATTATCTCTTTTACGACTTTTTTTTTCTTTAGTATATTTGTAGTACAGTTTAGAACAGAGAAGAAATAAATGTGTAAAATCAAATTGGGCTTAACTGAAAGTGATGTTTTTTATTTAAAAAAAATAGCACTTTCTCCCCCCTTGCATTGTGGGTTTGGATATAGAGAGAAATGCTGTATTGAGAATTCAAATACTTAGACTTCTCAGAATTGAATATACAATAAAATGTATAATTTAAGTAATATATAATTATTTTAAAGGTAAATGTGTATCTTCACTTAGACTCTCAGCTCTCCTTTTTTGGGTCTGTAAAGATCTAGATCCACTTTACCTCTTAATTTGTTTGTGTATCATTTTTGTCTTTAAAGATTAGTTTCCTAGTCAGTTGTTAAGCAGTTTAATGTCCATTTCTTGACAGTGCATTTCTGGAGTAAATTTGACTGCCTTTTGGCTTTTGTAATCCAAAATCTGACTTGAAGGTCATTTTTCAGGGGAAGTTCAGATTCCATTTTCACTGAAGAAAGGTAGTCAAATATATGATCCTTCACTTTGAACTTGGTTTTTCCTAAATGTAAAGGAAGAAGCTGTTCATCAGAAAATCTTTGTTGTGTAATATGTTAATTTTTCTCCTTGTAGAATTGATACTATAGAATTTTAAAACTAGAGGAGGACTTAGAGATAAAACCTTTTCATTTTGCAACTGAGAACACAGTCCTGATGTATCATTTATATATTTCTGTGTAACAGAGTACTCTAAAAATAGTGCCTAAAACAACAAACATTTATTGTCCTCAGAGATACATTTATTATCTCAATTATAAACATGTATTATTTATCATTGTATAGATAAAAACTTGGGAATGGTTTAGCTGGTTGGTTCTGGCTTGGAGTTCTCATAAGATTGTAGTCAAGATTTGGCCAAGTTATGGTCATCTTTGGATGACCATTTGTGGGGCTGGAGAATCTGCTTCCAAGCTGACTCACTGCCATGGTTGGCAAGTTGGTGCTGGATGGTAGTGGGAGGCCTTAGTTTTTTCTCATGTGGACCTAACATGGCCTTCTTGAGTGTCTTACAAGACTGATAGCCTCTGCCAGATAGCTGACTTCCCCCGATAGCTGGCTTCCTCCAGAGCAAGTGATCCAAAAGAGAGCAAGGTAGAAGTGGTAATGTCTTTTACGACCTAGTCTCTTAGGTCACACACTGGCATTTCTTCCACATTCCATTCATTAGAAGCTAGTCATTAAGTCTGATCCACATTCAAGAGGAGGAAAGTTGGGCCTCAGCATTTAAAGGGAAGAGTATTAAAGAATTTGTGGCCATGCTTCAAATCTGCCACACTTGGGGAAATGAGATTATTCTTTTATGGTTATACAGGAAGTTGGTAATCTATTTGGTACAGTGTAGATGTACCTTTTTTGATAATATATAATTAGGTGCAGATTGTAATTAGTAATCACTTAACTGTTATCTGTCATTGGATACATTATAACCTGGTACTTGTGTATCATTTACTTACTGATCCACCAGACTCTTGATAACTCACAATATGCCAGGCATTATGCTACTAATTGAGCATGTCTAAAGAGAACTAAGTTTGTGTGTAATAATTATTGACTCTTACTGTTTTCATTTATTTTTATTTTTTACTGGAGCTGAAGTTAAAGAATTATGTGTGTTGTTCCTAAACACTTTTGATCTGCCAAGTAGGGTAGCTTCCAAGTAGCCTTTAAGCAAATTACTAATTTTTAAATGTAGCTTTTTTACTAGTTAACCACAAAATCCCTTATGTAAAATAACCAATTAGGTTTACTAATAAGGTATTTTATTAAAGCCAGTTTCCTGATATTTATTAAATATGTATTGAATACTTAGTACTTAGAGAAGCAAAGATAAAGCCACATTTCCTTTTTGGGGGGAGGGCAATTAGATTTATTTGTTTTATTTATTTTTTTAATAGAGGTACTGGGGATTGAACCCAGGACATTGTGCATGCTAAACATGCACTCTACCACTGAGCTGTACCCTCCCCCAATACAGCCACAGTTCCTGTCTTGAAGGATCGATAGATGCATAAAGCTGAAGATAATAGCTGTCAACCTAACATGGTGACTGTTTACAAGTGATAGTTTTTGGTGTGATGCTATATTTATAAGTTACTATGGTGCTATACCATCAGGAAGGAGGAAATAAAAATCATTTGAAGAAAAGTATTTTAGTATTTACTTACTTGGTTTTTTTAATGTTGCTCATTAGAAAGATGTATTTATTTCCTCTCTTGGAAGCATTGATTTATTGAAAAATTTTTTCTCTTATAGGCAATGTCTATGCTGCTTCAAAGAATATAAACATTTGGAGATTTTTAACCAAGTAGTGTGTGCACTTATTAACTTAGTGATTGCCCAAGTTCAAGTGCTCCGGGACCAGCTATGTAAACATTGTACTACTATTAACATAGAGTCCACGTGGCAAGATGAGAGTAATCAAGCAGAAGAACCACTGAATATAGAAAAAGAGTGTAATGAAGGAAGTACAGAGAGACAAAAAATAGAAAAAAAATCAAGCTCTACAAGAATTTGTAATCTGACTGAGGAGGAATCTTCGAAGAGCTCTGATCCTTTTAGTTTATGGAGTACAGATGAGAAGGAAAAACTCTTACTGTGTGTGGCAAAAGTTTTTCAAATTCAGTTTCCCTTATATACTGCTTACAAGCATAATACTCATCCTACAATAGAGGTATGTAAAAATAAGCATTGTGAATTTTAAGTATACTAAGTCATGGTTATGTTCGTATTATCTCACTTCTGAATAAATATGAAGACAGTCATTATTGATAGAAAAATTGTAAAAATCACTATTGTTATGAAAATTATTCCAGATTTTTTCAGACCATTTCTTTAGCAACTTGTGTTGAACATTTGCTCAGCATAGGTCTATTAAGGAAAAATTTATAAACTGAACTCATAAAAGTTAAAGTCATTGATAGAAACATTTTGCTGACATAGATCTATGCTCTACTTTAACTATTTGAAAAAGTAATAACTGAGGAAAAAGAAGCACACAGAATTTTGTATTTCATTCTTAGAAACATAGGTTAACAGAATTTGGAATTGCCTTTGTAAAGAAAAAAACGGTTAACAAATTACGTTTAACTACTAGTTTTAAATAAAAATATTTTCTTTTGTAAGTCAAGATGCTTGACCCATTCCACTAGTGATATTTTCACAAGTCTTCCCAAGAGATTAGTAACTTACCTTAGGTTTATTTAGATAATGGCATTTCTTTCTACACATAGCAGGAATTCAGATAGTTACATGACAATGTATTAATGGCTTAAAACAACTGTGATTTATTATTTCTCATTATTCTTTGGGTTGGCTTTGCAATTCCTTTGATGGTTTTGTGTGGCCTCACTTACGCAGTCGCATTTATTTTGAAAGTCCAAGATGGTGTCACTCACACGTTTGATGGTAGTTGGTGCTAGCTGTTGTTTAGGGCTCCTTGGATTTTTCTCCACGTGGTCTCTCATTCTCCACTACCTTACATGGTAATCCAAACATTGATCCAGGAAGGCAAAAGTGGAAGCTATAAGGCCTCTTACAAGGTCCAGTCTCTGAAACCACACAGTATCAATTTTTGCCACATCCTGTTGGTTGAAGCAATTCAAAAAGGCAGCTCAGATCAAAGGGGTATGAAGTAGACTTCATCTCTGGATTGGAGGAGAGGTAAAGTTTCATTTTAAACTTTAAAGTACATTCTCTTTTTATGCATGGAGGAATGGAGAGAGTTGCAGCTATTAACAAATCTACCACATGCTTTTTTTTTTTTTTAAAGACTGCCTATTTTCTCTAGCTTATTTGTTCTGTAACCTTCATACTGACTTCTCTAAGTTTCTTCATCTAAAAAAAAATAGCCCTTTACTGAAAATATTCTCACATTAAATTGAGACTATTTAAAAACATAGCCCAGGAGGTGGGTATTTTCCCCATGAGAATTCTCCATAATTTAAATCAGTTTGTACTCTTATATTCTAGAATTTAGTCTGTTACCTTCCCATTTAGTAACCTTTTAATGGATCTCTTATTTAGCATCAGATACCTATTAATCTTTCTTTAAAATGTCATCTCGGAATCCTTTTTCAACAGAAAGGGGATCCATTCATGCAAAGCTGCAAAATTTAATCTTAAGAACATCACATGAACAGTGTTTTTAGTGCCTTAAATTGATAATTGAAAGATGCTAAAAATAGTTTATTTAGGGACCTAGATATATGAAATCCATGGAGAGTTTCTTAGAAGTATTTTTTTCTCCAGTTAAAAATCTCTATAGATAGTTACAGAAATACTAAATCTGCCATTTGTTCTTAAAATCAATTTCCTTAGTAGTTTTTTTAAAATGATTTTCAGAAATGGTAATCTCCAAATGTAGGAATAGTCACACTCCCTTGTAGTTTTTCTTGTGGAATAAAATGCCCCATTATCACTATTCTTGACAATCAGTCCACGTGACTACTTGGTTGAAAGCAATGGCTTCGGAGGTCTTCAGGTAAAATTCTAGTAAAAACCACCTTTAGATATAATGAAGGAGGAATCTCCTTATACAAAATTTTAATCTCCTTATGCAGAATTAATGTATGCTTCTCTAATACTCTGTTCATGATAGTTTCCCAAATTTCTCTTATCTCAGTAATGATCTGTTACAAATACTCTAAAATTTCTAGTTTGTATCCTGGTGACCATGTTATTAAATATATTAAGGGCCAGCTGTTTCAAAGGTTCACACATCAAAACCTTGGTGTAGTGTACATATATATTATAAAACTGTGTGTCTATCTATACATACACAGATATCCTAAGGAAACTAATATTTATTATGCAGTGCAGTAGAATCTTACTGTAGACATTTTTATTCCTTCCTTTTTATAGGAAGGTAATCCATCCAGTCTTCTCATACTGCTATATGCATCTTTTCCTGATAAGGCCTTTTATTTTTGTTTTTACTTTTTTTTAAGATGTACGAATTGGCCAAGACATGGAGAAGTTCAGTAATCTTGTGTTAGAGTTTTGATAGCTTGACTTTAGGTATTTAGTCAGTATCCTTACTTTATATAAGAGGAAACTGATCTACAGAGGTTAAAAGTTTGGGTCACATTTGCACAGCATATTGCTGAGAGAGTTGTAGAATTCAGCTCTTATTCTATTACGCTGCTTCTCAGTTATTTCAGACTATTTCAGACTATCACTAACTATTTATCCATTGCCAGTAGCGAATAAGATGGGAACTTGGAGCCCTTCCTTCTCCCCCTCGCTTCTTCTCTCCCTCTGTCTTTCCCTCCTATCGAAGTTGATAGTATTTTTAAAGATATAGTAATTGAAAATACGTAATACTAATTCAGGTTAAAAGTTTTTGGGTGGACCATTGGTATTGTTTTCTTAATCTTGAATAATATAGGTAATTCTATCAAATAAGGTAATGCCCTAGTGTAAATTATTTTTCCTAGAGTGAAATGAATATAAAAATTGTAGAAAGAAGAAAAACCATTGCTCTTTTGTTAAATGTATGTATAATATAATCAGGCAGATGAAATACGTACATTGTTATTTAATTGTCCAAATTTGCTGATTTTTTTCATGCCACTTTCCACTGATTTTTTAATTTGCTCTTTTTAAATTAAAAAATAAAATATTTTTAGTTTACCCCTTTAAAGTATACAATTTAGTTAGTTTTAGTATATCCCCAAAGTTGTGCAGCTGTCACTGCTATCTAATTCCAACATCAATGACTACTTTTTAAGCAATAATTTTATTCCTCATCCTCATCAGTTCTTCACAGTTGGATCATGGAGTAACATTTGCTTAATAGATATAGAATTACTTTCTCGTTACTCATTTATTTCTTTTTGTTTTCTCTTAAAGTAATACATGAATTCCTCTGTTTAATCCTAGAAATAGAATGACATCATATTTAATAAATGTGAAGGTTTCGGGAAAAAACGAAAACTTTAAAAATTCTTGATAGGTTTCTTAAAATCTTTTCAAGGATCATCATAATGAGAGCTTTTGGGGAAAAAAAAGATGTTGATTCAGCTTTTAGCAAGAATTCTTAGTGTTGGTCTTAGTATTATTTGTTACCTACAGATTTATGTTAACTGTTTATATATGACTTCAAGTGAGATTAAAATAACTCCTTAGGATAGTTGATTCATGTATGTAGGGTAGAAATAATGAAATCATAAAACAGATCTTCTGAGTAGCCAAAATAGATGTAACCACATCCATGAGTAACATTTTGCACATCAGAGTAGAATCCTGTTAGAGGATTTTCTGGCTGTGTCTATGTTAGGCAGTAGGTATCTTTTCTTTTTCTTAATACCAATAAAAAATGTCTTACTCATTCTTTAACCAAAACAGAGGGAAAAAATACCACAGGTCCTCACAACACCAGAAAAGTGCAGGCATTAGAAGGTATTGACTGGCACCCACTTGTTATTTGAGAACCTGCATCTCTGGTGTGAGGCCTCTCTCCACAGAAACCAGCAGGGAAGATGCAGGTGCTCGGTATACCAGTGGGCTCTCAGTGCCCTAAGCCTTTCTCAGCTTCCGTGGGCCAAATGCAAAGTGCCCCTGGAAGTGTTGGCGCTAAAAATCTTGACTTCAGTTAGTATTCCAGCCTGGTCCATGAATCTGTGTTTAGTAATAATATATCACAGGAGTTTTTATATTCTGGACTTTTTGGAGACAAAAAGTTTGTTAAGAATAATTTAAAGCTTTAACTGTGGCCCTGGTAGTAGAGACTTAGGAATACATTTAAGGAGATGTAGTACACTTACTTTGACAAATGTTTTGACCTCTCTTAGGACAGTTTTTGATTATTTTAAAATGTTCTGAGAGTTTTATGCATGCTCTCAATCAGTTGTTATCAAACTTTATTTTAGCAGTAGAACTTAAATATTCTATACAGAGAACAGTAAAGAATGAATGTGGCAGCTTTTTTCAAGTTTTCTGATCATGAAAGTAACACTTTCAGTGTGACTGAAAAACAGATTATACAAAATACGGAGTTAAAAAAGCCTTGAATCTCTCTTTCCCCGTCCTCTGATCAAAAAGTTTGTTATGGAATACTTTATATATTTTCAGACATTAAAAAATTAGGAAATCAGATCATGTTCATAAATTCTATTTTTAACAAATATAATACAACATACTATCTTTCCATGCCTGTGCATGTGGATCCATCTTATTTTTAATAGCTTTTTAAAGGTACTTTATATACCATAAAAATTATTTGCTTGAAGTATATATTATTTTTCATAAATGTACTGTTGTGCTACCATTAGCACATTTTAATTTTAGAACATTTTCATTATTCCTGAAAGATGATCCCTCATGCCATTTCACCTTATTATTTTTGAAGACTGCACAAGACTCTGGATGGTTATGCCACCATTTAGCCATTCTATTGATGGATATTAAAGTTGTTTCCAATTTTGAGATGTTACAAATAATTCTAGTGAGCATCATTAGACTTACATTTTTCCAGCACTTTTCCTAGCTGTTTAGGATAAGTAACCAGAAGATGAATTGCTGTGTCAAGGGGAATGTTGATAGATGTTGCCAAATTATCCTCCAACAAGATCATACCAGTTTATACTCACACCAACAATGGATGAGTATGCTTTCAGGCAGTTTAAATCTTATGTATGGGATGTACATGTGAAACTCTTGAATATACCTCTGCGGAATTCCAGAGCACAGTTTCAAAACCACTTAACCAAAGTTAAGATGTATTCAAGAATTACTCCAATTCTTTAAGGAAAGGTTTTTGTTTAAGAAGGCAAAATAATGTATAGCACATAGTATAGAAAGATTTCTTTGGAAAAGAGTTAAAATATACTTTAAAACTAATCATATTAACTTCATTTAGGATTAGGAATCCTACCGTTTATGATGAGAAGTAATTGTAAAATACGAATTTTTGTAGAACCAGTATGAAGAAAATTGTAGTTTTAAAAAATTGTCACGTAGTACTATGATGTAATTGTATTTATTACCTTTTTTTTTTAAATCAGGATATATCAACCCAAGAAAGCAACATATTAGGGGCATTCTGTGATATGAATGTAAGTGTTTTATCTTTTTTTATTCTTTAGGCTTATGAAAAATTTGGTTTTTTGTTCATAAGTCTTTTGAGCTTATTTTTATGTCTGATCAGTGTCTTTCTAGTACTGATAATAAAATGAAAATTTTTAAAATTTCCTTTTTTTTCCTCAGGATGTAGAAGTACCATTGCATTTGCTTCGTTACGTATGTTTGTTTTGTGGGAAAAATGGCCTTTCTCTCATGAAGGATTGCTTTGAATATGGGACTCCTGAAACTTTGCCATTTCTTATAGCACATGCATTTATTACAGTGGTATCTAATGTAAGTATTTTTGTAATTGGTTTTAATCTTGGAAGTAGTCTCATATTTTAATAGTATGAATTTTATGTCCAGAAAAGGCAGGTTTTGAGTGATTTGCATGCACAATACTGTTGTTTTTTTTTTAGGGTTGTAATTTGAAAAAAAAATTGAATACAGAAATCTTTTTAAAGAAAGTCTTTATTTTAATTGGAATTTGTATAAATGAGTTTAAGTTAAATAGGTAAATTTAGCCATTTTCCACTTTTGTCTAAGATATAAGATAGTTATGCACAGAAGTCTTATTTTGAGTTTAACTTTACTTGTCTGGGATTTTGTACTGGGAAATTTTTGGCTTTTTAGAGGTTTTAATTATTATGGTTAGTCAAGGGAACTACTACAGTGTGCCTCACTTCCCTGTATATTACAAGTAGAGACTCAACATTTCTTTTAGCCTTTGTAAAAAAAGGTAATTCTTTTGTGTGTTGTGAATGTCAGTTACTGTGAAGCACAAAAAGTGTGAAAGCAGAGATAAATAATTTTACTACCTATATATTAAAATTCAACCTGTAATTGCCTTCTATTTTGGTCATCATTTTTAAAGAATTGGTAAAGTTAGTTTTGCTATACCAAAGCCTTATTTCTTAACTGAAGTACCTTAAATAATAATGTGAAATGTTTATAGTATGTATATATAGTAAAAATACAGAGTAAAAAAAGGCTCAACTGTGAATACTTTGTTGCATTGTTTGGAAAGAATACTGGGTTTACTCAAGTTTATTGAGTATCTGGACATCCATGTTTACGTATTGGAAATAAAACATTTGCATCAAGGTCATTTTTAGTTCCCAGGTTCCTTGGTTTCTGACAGGTTGAAAATATACTGCATACAATGGCAGTATAGCATGGTAGGTTAAAGAATGTACGCTTTGGATTCATAGTTGCGTTTGAGTCCTGAATCTGAACCTCAGTTTTTCAGTCTGTAGAATAGGAATGATAAAAA